ATATCTCTGAGCACGTTGCAGTATATAAACAGTCTTATATAAGATATCTCAAATCTCAAAATTAATGAACAAAGAATATGCAATTCTTCCGATTCCCCTTGACCCACAGTTAGAGAAAAACAGAGTTTAAATTTAACATGCGACACGTTTCGTTAAGGCACAATTCACTACATTGTTACGCACGCAATAAACATTGATGCTACAATATAAGGAAAGTACAGACTTTTGAATTCAACGTGACGTAGTCTTTTTTATATATGTTTGTTGCTGCCTTGTCATCGTCATCTAAGACTAAAAGTTAAACTGCTGAATAGCCTAGATTTATGACATCTTGGAGGAAGAAACTATACTTCACACTGACTTGGCGCAGCGTTCACTATTCACTTATTACAAAGAATCGAAAGAATTAGATTTCAGTGAACAGAATGTTGTAATACAATGTTTTAACGATTCTGATTTCAATAAGACGGATGTTCCACCTAACATTTGTTCTAAAATGGCTCCATGTGATCTCTGCTGAACGTATGGTTCACCTTGCATTTTGTTATAAATACTCTCTTCCATGTTACAGATACAAATCAGTTAATTTGTCAACCTTGTAGTTAATCAAGATTCTCAGGTATGCATAATGACGCATAACGTTACTCAACGAAACGCCTACAACGAAAAGACAAGAATACTTAATACAATGGACGACGGATAAGCAGACTTACAATAGACTCCACCTCCTTCAATGGCGCCATTGGTAGATATGGCACACAAAGAAAGCACCGTACAAAAAATGATAGAGTACGCCAGAAGCAGCTGCACGAAAGTCAACAGGATTCCGGCCTGGCCAATGACGAAGCCTGAAATGAACATACCGTCATCGCCGGAATTTACTGGTCTATAAGATGAAAGTCGCCTTATAAAGTTCCAAAAAATAAATCCTACGTATGTAAGAAATCGAACATGAGACCTCGAAGGCGACAGCAATGTTTATATCTGACGGCTTTCTCGCCATAATGAAACGATGGTACCACTGTTAAGAAGAACGGACAACAAAAAGGTGCAAGACCGCATGATACGCCGAACAGAGCCCACGCTCCTGGGCGGCTATGCCGATCGAGAAAAAAGCTGACACGAATCATGCTATCAGGCTGGCTAACGACGCCATGGCAATCACGGTTAATATATCTCCTAATCCTTTCAAGGTAGCTATGCCTAGAAAAACTCTTATCACAAACTAGAAGGATTGGCGACTGAGTCAGTCAATCAGTTTCAACTATCATTTATCCTAGGGGGTCGTGGAGGCACATTTATCAGACAGTGCCAGAAAAAAGAAGCATGGCCCAAGGACACACCGATGACCAAATGATTCGATTATACAGAAAGCCTGGAATTGCTGAACTCGAAGCAGCTGGTACCCCTCAATCCAAAAGGAATAATGGGCTTTGAAAGTGAACGAACTGTATGGGATTTATAAAATAAAAACAAACCCGATCTAATG